GGGGGGGGGGGGGGGGGGTTGGACATGGGGAAGACTCATCACTACTTTATGGGGAGGCATTTGGGAGCATGGTGAGGAACACACCCAAATACCTGGGCATCCCCAACGATGGTCCTTGGCTCCCAGCTTATGCTCGAACCCCCAACCCACGTTGCCCACCTTGTTTATCCTGCTGGAGCCTCAGGTTCAGGCCGGCTGCTCCCCATGCCTGGCCACAGCCCACAGATGCTCTGTACTACCTGAACCCTTTCTTTTTTTAGCAGGGGAGGCCAACTGTTGCAGGGAGCCCAAAATCCTGTGTGCTGCAGGATGGGCAGGGGCTGGTGGGGGGCGGCTCACCCCAGGGCAGCAGCTGCTGCCCGGTCGGGCACTTCTTGTCTTTCCTGGCCCCCAGCGCTGTAAGTTAACACCCCACAGGCTGGTCCAAAGAGGATTTCAACGAAACCTGAAGCTTGGGAGGAGAGATTATGCTGCAGAAGTGGCCTGGGAGACCGTAAAATATGCACTCCCACAATCACCAAAGAAGGAACTGGATTTGCTCCCTGGGGAGCAGGGTCATCCCTGGTCTCAGTAACGGCGTCTGAGTGGGGAGATGAGTGCCTTGAAGATAGGTCACCCCCTTTTGCCTCAGCGTGGCCCTGCTGAGCCTCCCTGTGACTCTAGGAATGCTTGCTCTCCCAAAATTTGGTGCCTCCTTGTAGGTTACTGTTTACTGAAAATCAGGTTTAGGACAGATGCTTGTGCAAGTGCCTACAGTGTGGCTGGCCATTTGCTTGCAGGAAGCAGCACCTGGGAGGGTAAAGGAGTGGGGTGGCCTTTTCAAGGACATTTATGTTCCCCCAGCACCCTCCACCTGTGCCCTGGGGTGAGGGTCTACCAGTAGCCTCTGCCCCACAGGGTGGTGGTCTGGGGCAAGGTGGTCCATTCTGGGTCCTGTAATGCCAGGAGCAGAGCTGAGTGCTGCTTTTGTTTTGGGTGATTTGCCATTTTTTGAGGCAGCCACATCTACAGACCTAGGAGAGCCCAGCTGGGGAGATGGCTCATCCCATCCCATCCCACAGGGCTCAGCAGGGATGCACTGACCCTTGCAGCCCACTGTGCTGGCATGTGAGTGCAGGTGTTTTAGGTGAAGACTGGCCTGCCAGCCCTCCTGCTCTTCCTAGGAGCTCTTCTTGCAAGAGTCTTTAGTATTACTAATTTAAAGTCTCCTGACATCCTGTTGAGAAAAATCAGGGAGGTGGTCTCAAGTTCATTCTTCTGGAGCCTGCAAATGTGGAGACCTGGAAGGGACCTGGAGAGAAGCGGTTTGTTTCTCCCAGTCCTTCAAGGTGTCACTGCCAAGGTCCTTCTGGCTCTTAGCAGGGTCCTGTACCCAGGGTGCAGCCCTGGCCACGGTGAACATGATCCTGTCTGTGTCCCCCACCATATGACACCGTGTGCCCTCTTGAGCTAGGCCTGGAGGAGTGTGGTAGGGTGGTGTTTTTTTGGGCAGAGCCAGAGGAACTCCATGCAGAGCTGCTCTGCTCCTCTCCTCCCTTTTTTGCTCATCTCTTCCTTCATGCAGTGTAGCACAAGCCTTGGTCTTGGGACCACAGAGAAGCTGTATGTCAGGGCCAGGCAGATACAGGTGCAGGTACCAGGGCAGCCTGTGCTATGGCCAGGCACCTGAGTCAGGAGTCTAGAGCTGGTTCTGGCAGGCTGTGAGTGACAAACTGCAGAATGGGCTGAAAGGGACTGTCACCGAGCCAAGGAGAGCTGTGCCACCACAGCTCGTGTGTCTGTGGGGGCTGCTGCCACCCTCTCAGCACAGCCCAAACACCAGCACAATGGGGTGCCTTCCGCTCCTTGCTCTGGATGCAAATCCAGACCCCTTCTGTTACGTGGCTTTGAGTTTGCACCAGTGTCCCCTGGCACCCCAGCCCCTTTCTAGGGAGCCGTCACCTGCCAGCAGCAGCTCTCAGGCTTGTGTCCTCTGCCCTCCACTTCCTGGGGGCTGCTGCTTTTGCAGGCGGGTGAACACTGGTGGGGTTGGGGCTTCTCTCTTCGAGGGAAGGTGGGTATGGCTGCTCTAGGGCAGCGCTACACTGCAGCCCACCTTCTCTTTTGCTGGCTCATCTAGGGCTGAGCTGCCTTTTCACCCTGTCCCTCTTCTCTCCCACAGGCACGTACCAGGGCCAGTTCACCAACGGCATGCGGCACGGCTACGGCGTGCGGCAGAGCGTGCCCTACGGCATGGCCTCCGTGGTGCGCTCACCACTGCGCACCTCCCTGTCCTCCCTGCGGAGCGAGCACAGCAACGGCACCCTGCCCCAGCAGGACTCCCCCGCCGCCAACCCCGAGAGCCTGCCCCTCTCGCCCACCATCACCCGTGGGGGATTTGCCCTCAGCCTCTATGCTGAGGCGGAGGCTGGCAAGCCCAAGAAGGGGGGGCTCTTCCGCAGGGGCTCCTTGCTGGGAAAGCTGAAGAAGTCTGAGTCCAAGTCATCCCTGGCCAGTCAGAAGAGCCGAGTCAGCTTCCTCAAGAGCGAGAGCGGGATCAGCTCAGCTGCCAGTGATGCCACCTCCACTGTTAGCCTGGGTGAAGGTGCCGAGGGCGAGGAGTACCCCCCCTTCGAGTCTGATATTGATGCCACCACCACGGAGACCTACATGGGCGAGTGGAAGAACGACAAGCGTGCCGGCTTTGGCGTCAGCGAGCGCTCCAGCGGCCTGAAGTATGAGGGCGAGTGGCTGGACAACCTGCGGCACGGCTACGGCTGCACCACGCTGCCTGATGGCAAGAAGGAGGAGGGCAAGTATCGCCACAATGTCCTCGTCAAGGGCATGAAGAAGCGTGTGATACCTCTCAAGAGTGCCAAGATCCGGCAGAAGGTGGACAGGAGCGTGGAGGGGGCTCAGAGGGCCGCGGCCATTGCCCGACAGAAGTCGGAGATTGCGGCATCCAGGTAGGTGCTCGGGGCTCCAACATGCGGGTCCCCGTGGTGGTGGTCCCCATCTCACATGTCCCTCTGGAGCCATGCTGTGTGTCTCCTTGCTCTGTATTGGCAGCGGGGTCAAACGTGACTCTGCAATTTCTATTTAATTCTTTGTACTAAATGCTGGCAGAGTGGAGCTGAGGGCCCTCATGGCAACTCAGGTGCATTCAGGAACTGTCTTCTTTCTTGCCCCCTGTTCTGTCCCCCTGCAGTCCTGGTCCAGGGGGAGCTGCTGGAGAGCAGGGCCTGGCGCTGGCACTCAGCAGGATGGGGAGCAGGAGCTGGTGGGATGGGGAGTGCCCTGGTGCTGTGCCAGGCTGCTGGAGCCTCTGGGTCATTATTAGGGCACAATGAGAAATAATGGGGTTTGACAGCAGTAAATCAGGAGCCTTGGGGAGCCCCATCTGCTCCCCAGAATCCAGCTGCCTTTGGCCAGGTTTTCAGTGAGTGTTTCTGCCATGAGGGAGGTGGCAGCTGGAGCCAGGGCAGGTGGCTGAGCCCACGCTGGATGGCTGAGCCCCATCCCATGGCACACAGCCACATCCCACAGCCCACGATGCTTTAGGATGTTGGGAAAGGAGGAAGCAGGGAGGGCTCAGCTGGGTTTGTCCCCAGGGGTGGGAAGAGGGCTGCCCAGCCAGCAGCGGGTGAGAGGCAGCGTGTGTGGGGATGCATGTTGCAGGGGCCTGTGAGGGAGGAGTGTGCGAGGGGCTGCTGAGGGCACGTGGCAGCCTCTCCTTTCACCGATGTCCCTTGTGCTGGCAGACACGTGGGCACCGCCGGGCAATGTGTTGCCCCAGCACCACTTGGTAGGTTGGGACCAGGCAGGTGGGCTCTGCTCAGAATTAGCTGCATTGGAAATTTTCAGGAGAGGAAAGTGCTAATTGTTCCATCATCCCTCCCGGGGTGGAGGAAGGAGGAGGTAAAATCTGGGCTCTGGGGTCTGCCCAGGAAGGGCAGGAGAAAGCCTCCTGCTCACATCCCTGCCTGTGTCTGGGCTGTGCCAGCAACACACTCCTCCTCCCACAGCGTTCCTGCCAGTCTCAGAGCCAGCCTGGCAGAGACTAGAGATTGTCAGGCAGGGTCAGAGACTTTGCTCCTCAACTCTTCCTCAGAGAAACGTGTTTGTGACAGATCTCAACGTTTCACCTTGCCTATCCATCAAAACCTGGTCCCGTGCAGGCTTTGCTCAGTGGCTGGGTAGTGGATGGGACTCCAGGTCTGTCCTGCCTTGCTCCTTTTTAGTGCTGTTTAATTATCAGTTGCTTTATCACCAAGCAGAAATAAGAAATAATGACAGGGGGGAGGGTGCCTGTTCCCCAGAGAAACCCTGGCTTTACTCTCCCAGCTGCTGTTTCTGCTCCAAAGTTTTGTGGGGAGCATGATTGTTTTTTTAGCAAAACTCAGTTGCCTCGGAGACCGGCACAGAGAAATCGGCGGGATTGCAAGTGAAATGCTGTGCAGGGCCAGCTAGGATAAAAATAACAGGCTGGGGCGGCATGAGGCCTGCCAGAGCCTCCCGGCAGGGCAAGCTCAGCCTGACACCGGCTTTGCCGCGCCCGGGAAAAGCGTGAAGCCGTGGTGCTACACACCCGTGAATAAGGAGACTAGAGCTGCAAAAGCTGCTCCGCAAGAGCTTGGCTGGTTTACACAAGCCTCTTTTTATTATACACTATTTACACTTTGGATCAAAAGTGGCTCTGCAGTGTTTTCCATCAGAGGCTGGAATGCGCGCGCTACCCTGGCCGGGACTGCATCCCTCCTCAGTGTGGCTGGGGAATAATTTCCTATTAAGGAAACCTTGGAGCTGGAGGAAATAAGATGTTAAAGCCGGTTTCCTCCAGAGAGTCCTCCCCTTACAAACCCTGCGATAGTGTGGCTGTTGTGGCAGGGGAAGAGCGCTCTGCTTTCCCCGCAGCGCGGTGCCCCAGTCCCGTTCCTGCAGCACTGCCTGCTGCTGAGCTGGACCCGCTGCAAGAAGAGAATTCGGGCTCCTCCGTCCTGTAAACTGTAACTCACCATTTCCATCAGCGTTTATTCCTTGTGTGTTGCTCTGGGCAGAGCTGTTCTCTCCACCTTTTGAAAGTCTTATTCGTGCTCTCCCTCCTCCTCCTTTCAGTTCAGATTTGAGGTTGCGAGTAAACATAGATAATATTTCCTCAAGAGGGTCCTTAGGCTCTGCCACTGACTTTTCCTTTGGCCTTGAACCTTGCCTCAGTTTCCACACCCAGGGCAGAGAGTAATTGCAGACAGATTGTGAAAATCAATTATTGCGCTTTATAAAAGGGCTGTACTATCATTAGCAATGCCTTAGCTCATAACTGTGAGGTAGAGTTTTCTAGATTTGTGTTTCTCCTCCATGGCAGTGTGTACCTTACCCAAAGAAATGTCTTTGAGGCTACAGAAGTCCTTTTTTGGGGGAAGATGTGACATATCTGCATGTAAGATTATTTCAAGGAACTAATTAGTGGGACACAGCAGCTGGGCTGTGCAGATGTCCAAAATACCCCTGCATACCTGTGCTGTTGTAAATGGATGTTTGAGTTTCTTTTGCTTCTGGCACTCAGGGGAGCCCCTTGTAGAGCTAAACTACCATAACATCCAGCCTTGCGCTGTCTGGGGGTGGAATGTCAGGAGAAGACCAGATTTCACTCTTTTGCACCATAAAAGGCTCTTTAGGGATAGAAATCCTGAGGAAAGCAAGACCAAGTGCTGGAAGCTGCCTCAGCCAGTTGCACCACAGGAATCCCAGGCACGTGCCTGAGCTCCGGGGTGCACAGGCAGGCGACTCCCAGCAGCGCTAATGGGTGTCCTGACCGATATCTGCCCTGAGGAGACGGGCTGGAGAGCAGGGATGGTCAGGGATGATGGTCAGCCGCCGTCAGCAAACCTTCCTCATCCCACACTCCACTCTGAGGGAGTCCAAGGCAACAGGGTTGCTTTGCAGCTCCTGTCCCACCTGTCTGCTCAGTTTGGGGGTTCCAGCCAGTGCCACAGGCAGTGCCAGCTATTGCCTGCCCTGCTGCCTGTCCTGCCTGTCAGGCGGCACTGCCCTGGTCTCCTTGGCTCCCTCCCAAATCCTCACGGGTCAGCAATCCAGCTGCTTTCCCCATTGTGCAAAAGGCTGAGGACAGAGCTGGCATCGCCTTGCCACCAGCTGAGGTAACAGCAATTTTCTTCATTCCTTTTTACATTAGTTTAGTGAAACATCCAGCTCTTCCAGTTGCCCTCTCACCCCAGGCAAAGCCCCTTCGTGCTGCCTCGAGGTTGGGCAGAAACTCAGGGCACATTTATCAGCAGTGTTGGGGATCAACTAATGGCATGAAGCTAATGGCAGTTAAAGTATGCCGAGTCCTCCCCCAGACTGCTGGCACTCGGGAAAAAAGTATTCTCGAAAGTGCAGACACATCTTTACTCCTGCCCAGGGGAAACCACAATTGAACATGGGGGTAACCCGCACTGTATGATGTCTGTTAGCCTTAGCCATGTCCTGCGCTGCTGGTGCCCTGGGACCTTCCTTGCTGTGATCATAAGGGAGATGGAACGTGGCTGTTCCCGTAGTACCAAATGAAGGCATCCATCACATCCCTTCACCCTCCCCCTTTTTCACCCTCCACCCTGTCTGGGGGCTCCTTTGAAAAAATGTTGGGGTGGGTGGGAAAGGCGGTGAGGTCCTGGGATCACAGCTGGGACGTCATCTCCCTGGTACTTAAGTAGATAAGGTGGCTGGAGGACAGCCAGCAAGTCTGTTCCCCGCCAGCCCCTGTGAGGAGGGGACAGCCACCACCAAGCCATGAGTGAGCCAGTTAAAAGCCCTCCTGAGGTGTGTAACGGATGCTCTGGAATTTTGTGGGTTGGTGGTAAATGGGGTGCTCAGGGAGCAGCAGCACCCAGGGGTGCTGACTGTGTAGCACATGCTCACCTGTCACATGGGGAGGATGGTTCTGCTGAAAGGAGGGAGAAGGAGCATGGAAGTGTTCAGCTTTCACCTCATCAGAATAGATTAAGATGAATAAAATAAAAAGCAAGAGAAAGGGCAGGACCAGCTGCAGGGGAAACTTTTGATTTTATGAAAGCTGTGTGCTTTGTAGCCAGGCAGCTCAATACAGGGGATTTCCTTCTCACTGGTGCTTTTGGAGAACAAAATGAATGTAAATACTGCAAATCCCACCTCCATCCCGCTACAGCAGTGTCTGCTGTGGTCTGCCTCTGCACGTGGCAGTGCTTCCCAGTGACTTGGATCAAAATCAATGGAGGGACTTGGCTGTGCATCCTGCAAGGCATGGGTCTGGCCACACTCTGAGATGTTTGACTGGTGTACATCCTGTAAACAACACCTCAGATATATCTGCCACATGTCCTGGGATCAATAGGAAAACAAGATAATAGAGGCAATAATGGCTGCTGTGCTTTGTCTGTTTGTCGTCAGACACTGACCCTGAAGCCCCTGTGCAGCTGGGTGTTTTATGTCTGGAGAGTGCAACTAAACATGAATACATTTTGGATTTCTTTCTGGTTTTAATGGAATATCTATAGAGGTCCTGAAGTACTGTTGCTTGGATAGATATCTGTAAGAATTTCTCAACTGCATTCTGCAATGTTAGGCATTAATTCCTGTTAAAGTTGGGTTTACTCATCACAGTGAACCTGGGCTGCATTAAAGCATCACAGAGCTGCGGTGAGCACTTGGTGTCAGAAATCACATCAGTGCGGCTTCCCTGGCAGCGATGCGTGGATATTGTTCATAGTGTGAGCTTTTACCTGGTTTTGAAGTCTAAGTTGGCTTTCTGTCTGTACCCATGTCTTAGCTCTCCCTTCAAATAACAAGTGCTTGATGGCTCCCGTATCGCTTTCCAACCTCCCCTGCCCGGCCGCATTCCCAGCAGTGCGGCCGCTGTCTCCCTGCACTCAGCATTTCCAGCCTGCGTGGCCAGGCAGCAGCAAGCGTCTCCTTGGGGAACGCGGGTGTG